GCGGCGCCGGCGAGCCCGCACGCCCCCCGCCGGCGCCCGCGACCTTCTTGCCCCGGAGCGGGCGGCTGCCGGCGCGGACGCGGGCTGACAAGCTCGCCGATCCCTCAGCGCCCTTCCTCTGTGCCGCTCACACGTGCGCCGCCTCAGTAACTCCTGTCCCCGCACCTAACCGGCCGCGCCCCTCCGGAAAGGGGTCACTCCCGCTCCCAACTCGGACCTTAACTCCGGCAGCGGCTAAAGCGCCGGAAACTTCAAAACTAGCGCGCGCGAGACCCTACGCGAGCACACACCCCACCGCTCTGCCGGCTCACCGCGCCAGCCATGTTTATATAGCCACGCGGAAACTTCGCGCACGCGCCCAGACCCTGCATCGCCCCCGGGCTTTCCCCGGAATCCGGCGGTCTGATTGGCTGGACGGAGGAACCACGTTCGTGACGTGAAGAGGGACGGCTTTTAGGTGCAGTAGACTCTTCCCTAGAAGCGGAGAAGGTGGAATGGCCGGTTGCCAAAGTCCTAGCACGTGGGAGCGACTGACTGCTGGTGGAATACTGCGGCATCTACGTTCTTCTGTTTGGTGTCCCTGGCTGCGTGTTCCTGGAAAATTTGGGGCTAGATTTTTGCCAGGCTGCTAATTTTTTAGGAAAACAGGACAGAATTTGGTGACGGGTAGTTCATTAAGCTGTCAGTGCCTTTCTGTGAGCTTTATGCTAAAACCACTACTGTAATGTTACAGTGGACTATGAATTGTTGACGAATGGCGTACAATTTTAGTTTGTTAAAATCATTTTAGAGTTGAATTGTTCCTAGGGAAAATCCTTTTCTTATTAGCTACTACTATAGATTCTCTATCTCCTCTGTTTTTTATAAACATATATAGATGACTCTCCTTAAATCTAGAAGACTGTTTTATGATAACTACATTCCCACATTTTACCACTTACATCTTAAAGTTAAATCCTGACTATACATTAAGTTAGGAATGTTCACTGAAACAATCAATGATGTTAGCTGCCATCAACTCGACTTCAATCCATAGCAACAATATGGTCATGGGTGTTGGAGAATAAAGTACTTAAACCAGTACTGAGTACTGTCCAAATATCCTGATCAAGTCTTGTAATGAAATAAAACTAAAACAAATAAAAAACTTATGTTTCTACTATTTCACAGTGTAACTTGGGAAAAATATCAAAAGCTACCAGTACAATTATTGGATGAATTATAGAAATAATTCTCACTGTCTTTTTGAGTTTCCAAATTACTTAAATCTCTTAGGAAAATAAATGTAAATTGACTCGTTTTTTTCTCTGTAAAACGTGATTAGATAGAAAACATCTGCCTAAGATGAACCTAAGTCTACTCCTCACCAATTACCTCATCCAGTAGTTTACAATCATGACAATAGCAAAAGAATCTACTTTTTTCCTGTTTTTGTACATTAGCAATGTATGTATAGTGTGACTTGGTAATTATGTAATGATGTAATTTGACAGTTACATCAAGATGTAGTCATCCTTAGTTTTGTGATTTGAGGCTGATTGTCTCATAACAACCCAGTTGTTAAAATTAAATTATTTCAATTATTGAAGAGTGGTTTGTTTTTGTTACATGCTATCAAGTTGCCTGCTAGTCATAGCAACTCTATACACAATAGCTCTGAGCCCTATCCTATTCTGAGCCAATCTGAGTGTCTCTGACATACCTGCTCCCATTACTCTAGTCACTGTTGCCGTCTCATCCAAGATCTTCCTCTCCTGTATTTTCCCTCCACCCTTCTAAGCATGATACTCTTCTTCAAGGAATGGTCCCTTCTGGCAACATTCCCAAAGAATATGAGACAAAGCTTCAAATCTCTGCCTCCAGAGATTTGGTTTTACCCTCTCTAGGACAGATCCGTTTGTTCCCTTGGCAGTCCATTGTATGTTCAATACTTTTCTCCAAGGCCACCACTCAAAGGCATCAATTCTTTTGTCATCCTTATTCATTGTCCAGTTCTCTGAAGCATAGCAAGTAATTGCAAAGACCATAGCCTGGATGAGTTGCACCTTAGTTTCTAGACTGACGTCTTTTTGTTAATATATTCATGACGTTAATGTAATTTAGGAACAATTGCCTTCAAATTCCATATGCTTAAACCTGATCCACTACATATGTTGTGCCTATACAAAGAGCATTCAAATATCTTCTGCACAAAACACTGTATTTTATTTATTTCCTCTCATAAAAAGCATTCAGACAAAGAAGATTAAGGGAGCTCTGGTGGCCTAATGGCAAGAATCTGCACTGCAATCCCAAAGGCTTGAGGTTCAAATCCACTAGATCATCTGCTGAAGAAGGAGGGGCAATCTCCTCCTGGACCAGTAGAATCCCACTTGACGTTATACAATAAGGGGGGGAAAAACCCACAAAGAAGATTAATAAAGTATAATCTATTCACAGAATATAATACAAATCAGGTCTTAGACTATACAGTTGAAGATTTATCTTTATTGAAAGGAAATGAGCAAAATTGAAAAAAAAGGATTTTATTAAACAGCACATAAAGTATGACTTTTTAAGTTTCGTAAATGAAAAAATATTTTTATAAACCAATATATAGGCAGATGATGTGCTAATCAAATTATTTACCCAAGACACCTCTGGAACCGTTCTATGTAATAATCCCTTTTTGCTTCTCTTTTACATTTTTCTACAAAGAACAAGTTTTATTTCCATAATAGAAAGTGAATACAAACATTTTTCTTAAAATCTCTGTTGTTTTTATGTACTGTCAAGTCACCTACAACTCATAGCAACCCTATGTACAATGTCTGAACACTGTCCTATTCTGACCCAGTCTCACTGACTCGGACACACCTGCTCCCATTACTCCAGTCACTGTGCCAAGCCACCTTACCCAGGATCTTCTGCTCCTGTGCTATCCCTCCACCCTTCCAAGCATGATGTCCTTCTCCAAATACTG